TCCTATTGTAACAATATATCAGGAGCCTTGTATTAAATTTTTACACTTTTTGGCCCAACAGATAAAACTTTATTGATATTTATAGAAAAAAAAACTAAAAAAAATTGAAAGCTGTAAAGGTCCATAAACAGCTCAAAAAGAGTCAAAATATTTTCAAAATTGTATGGTGTATAGGAAATGCTAATATAAACATTCAGTGAAATTTTCATGTATCTACAGTTATTTGTTTTTGAATTACAACAAAATAAGGAAATCGCTACATGGGAAATCGAGTGAATATTCAATGTTGTAAAAATTTGAATTTCAAACGCTCATAAAAATTTAATTTGACTTTCTTATAGACATTTTTCTTTTGATAAAGGTAGACAAACTTATAAGGAATCTTGTGTTTAATTTTCAAATCTTAGATTTAAAAAGAAAAATTTTTACGAATTCTTAACTCAAAATAATTTGCTAATTTTCGTGATTTTCCCATATTTTGTCAATTTTTGAACTTTAAATGCTTATAAAAAAAAATTGTGACTAAGGATTTTTAATATTTTTCATCTGCCTTTGAAACAATATATTAGGAGCCTTCTATTAAATTTTCAAGCTTTCGCAACCAACAAATAAAATTTTATTGATATTTTTAGAAAAAAAACTAAAAAAAAATGGAAAATGAAAATGTCCCTAAACAGTTCAAAATAAATCAAAATATTTTGAAAATGCAAATATAAACAACCAGTGAAAATTTCATGTATATACGTTCATTTGTTTCAGAGTTACACCAAAAACCAAAATCGATTTTTTGGAAAACCAATTTTGCGTAAAAATTCCCGTTTTTCCTTAATTTTTATGTTGTTTTTCCCGGCGCTTGTGAAAACTACTGGGAAATTTATACTTTTGACCCCCCAAAGTACCAACTAGATTCACTTTCCTATCAGAAAAGCTACTGATGAAGAAAATCCAAGCACTTTTACTGTCCTAAAACGTGATGACAGACACAAAAAAAAAAATAAAAAAAAAAGTAAAAAAAAAAAAAAACACACATCATTGTAAAATCAATACATTCATCGTTTCACTCAGAATCTAAAATAGAAGGAAGCTTACATACCTATATAGTATGTATTTTATTTTCAAGTTCCTTAATGAATATCATATTTTTTGCTTTTGCTATAATTTAGTAATTTACTATTTAGTTTTAGTGCAATGATAATATTATGGTATATCAAATTGTATAGATAAATATAAAAAGTTTCATATTATAAATTATTCATCATAAACAGAAAGGTAATTATTAGTAGAGGTAATTTAAAAAAAATATAAGTTTGCTATACTATATTTTCATCATATTATCTATGTATTCAGTTAATATATATATCTATGTAATTTACTCTTAAGAGTTAAGTTCCACTGTAATTTTTAACTTAGTTTAATCTTATCGACTTTAAAAGAATTATTTTTGACTTAGTAGACTAGCCACTAGGTACAAAATAATATAATTTGTTGAGTGGTTTAGAATTGGAGACAGTAGTAATACAGTATACTGTATACCTAATTGATAAAAAAGTGACAATGGGGAAGGATCTCCGCGAATCTGCGATTGCGATATAGGGTCGGTGGGTGCTTGAATACACTATTTTGTACCTACAACTATTTTACAAAACTGTCAGTTATTAGAGATAAAGGTAGATTAACGACCTGTGCCACTGGCAGACGGCAATTTGTATTTCATGGCAGGAGTGGTGGGGATATCCCTTAAGGTTCATGAAAATTTTTATTTGGTGACTTGGACACTTGGTGTTTAGACTTCCGTAGAGGTGTTTTCACTTTTTTTCGTTAATATTCTAACAATATTTTTGGTATATTTGTACAAATATTACCATGGAACCAAATGATGGTATGTATTAGGTATAATATACTATTTTGTACACATTATTAATTTTAACTAATTAATTGTAGGCAATGGAAATGGCATCAACGACGAACCAGTTGATGGTCAGGGTCTTCCTCTATCTAGAGAAGTTCCCGGAATTCGTGGGAGATCAAGGGTTTTCATTGATGATAGAGGATATGCATTTTACCAGCATTCCCTTTCCATAAGAGGAGATATAAGGTATAAGCAATAATTTATATTTTTAAATTAAATCGGTTTTTTGTATCTAAAAAAAAGCGAGAAAGTAGGTATTATTGCTCTGCTGACTGCTGTGTAGGTGTCGAGTATTCGAGTGATTCGTATTTTAATATACTCAGTAAAAAAAGTATTTAATTACCTATTCAAATACTTTAAAAGAGTATTTATAGAAACTTTCAAATTTTTTATAAATTAATTTACCTTACAATCAACTGAACCAATTTTAATTTTTGTTTTTTGTTAATTTTAGGTTTATAGCATTTTATATCGTATTATTTGATGTAACTATAAAATACTCATATGTTTTCTTTGTCGAAGTATTTGAATTTTCGGTTGAGTATAATTAACAGTAAAAAAATATATATTATCATAAATTCTTTGACCAAGTACTTTTAATTTTTTTTTAAGTATTTAGAATACTTTAGAAGTAGCTATCTAGGAAGTACCTATTTGAGTAATTTTACTCTTACTTTATAAGACTGAAAGTGTTAAATAATTGTGCCTATACGATGAACAACGACTCTGAGAGAAAAAATGATCTATTGACGTATACTTCTGATGATATTTTATCATGTTTACCTGTTCCGAAATGTTCTCTTTAAATTGGAAAAAATTTAAAATTAAAAAATTCGAATTGGTCTTGAAAGTTTCTGAGATAACCCGTTAGTAAAAAAATAATTTTACTTTTACATACAAAGCGTACTCGATCCCATTTCTTCATTTAACGTCCCTGGCCTGTCGTAAATCATAAATATGAGTGTGGTTTTATCATTTAGTATTACTCTAAGGGTTGTATTCGGGTGGCGACTCAACGGCTGGGCTATAGGTATCTACGAACGCGTAGGCACAAAATGGGTGCGCACACGTCATGTCAAAAGTAAACGGTACCGACAGGCGACGACCAAAAATTAATAGGGCGATTGAGTATTTGAGTATTTTGACAAGATGTATCAAATTTATAATTTAATAATTATTTTGTAGTTAAAAATGTATAAAATGTTCAACTTTTATAGCTAAGGTTATGTATAAATTCCTTATTCACAATATCATCAAATATACTTGGTAATATGATAATTCATAGGCTGACTGACCGTTTTCACTTTTCGCTCAGAATCGTTTTTCTTATACAATTATATTAAATCATTGAATTCAAATCTAACACCATCCATTTCAATGACCCACTGGCCACTTGTAACCTTCTGTACAGCAGAGCAACACCCACTTGCCAACCTTTTAAAATTTTTATTTACAATGTATGTATATTAATTATTATTATTATGCCATTTAAATTATTGTATAACCATATTTTCTCATATTAATCTCATAAGTAATAGTCAATCTAATCAATAAGTTTCGATGAACATTTTAGGGAAACTTTTTTTAAATAAAAATAAAACTATGACCTATGCCCGGGGGGGGGGGGGGGGGGGGGGCAAACACTTTGCACATTGGACTTTGATTCTTGATTATGTAGCTTAATTTAAACAATAATAAATAAAATAAAAACTTTTTTAAAATTGGTAATATTTAAATTAGTATTACATGGTTTGGATTAGAATTTTTAAAATCTAAGTTCAATGCGCCCAATAATAATCTTTTTTTTCCCATAAAATAAAAATTATCGAAATTGAATTATTGTAATGGGTAAGCTGTGAGTTTTTCATGTAAGGAATGTTTTTGATTAAAAGTCTGTTCATGGGTAACCCCTTTTTAATAATGAATTTATTCAAATTCTTGAGATATTTTTACTATAATACTACTAATTTCTATATTTCAAATGAGTTCTCTTCTTTGACCATTTATACTGTAAATTATGTATCAGTTATTTTTTCTGGAAATGTTGAAGTATCACGATCAAAATGCGAACGAGAAGTTTCAGAGTTATTTAACTTTGTGTCCTAATTTGTGACAATTGGTTCATGGCAATGGCCAATGGGTTTGGAAGATATGGAGGATATTTGATTTTAATTTTAGTAACCAATATTAATCTATATTCTATTAACATTTATTATTTATACAATTTGTATAGTCAAAGTAAATAATAAATACCAGATCTAATAATATTACATCTATAACATATTTCTGTAAAGTTTTTTTATGGATTAGATGTCTACTCTGCTCAGAATCTAAAATTATATACCTATTATTATTAATTACATGAATGTACTATATTTTAATGAAAATAGTTATATTTTATTGAATGCAGGTATTTAAGATGCGAAAGAAGAAGATACGGCTGTACGGTAAAAGGCAAAATGTTTACACGTGACGGGGCACAAATTGACACATCTCCAGGCGATGACCACAATCATGAACCTGCACCTCGCTATGCATTAGGTGTTCGACAGTATTTTAATAGATTGAGAGAGAGAGGTGTAGACGAAAATATTGCACCACACATAATTGTTGATCAGGAAACTCAAATGTAAGAACAATAAAAATAACTATGTAATGTATGTAAATATTTATAAATATATAATATACATCAACTAGGGAACCAGAAGCAGCAATGGAGATTGGACGACCTGCAGCCATCCGTGCAATAGCAAGAGCCAGGCGTCGTAATAGTCCACCAGTTCCTGAATCATTGAGCAATTGGCCAAATATTTTGAGCTCGATTGAATGGAGTCAAAGACTATTGTACGTCAACGGTGCACTAGATTCATTTTACCAAGGACCTTTGGAAGTGCTAAGAGATGATGGTACAGTTCGTTTTGTTGGCATCGCCTTTACAAACTTAGCATTTCTACAACGGATGAATGTACATCTTCGGGCTGTTCGAACTGTGTGCATGGACGGGACGTTTCAAGTTCGACCAAGACAACCTCCCAACATTTATTGAAAAACAACATTGAACAACTATTTACCATTCAAATAGTCTTCAATGATGTGGTTAGTATATAGCTAAAACAATAAAAAAAATTATCAATTAATGTGAATATATTTAATTTATTTTTAAGGCAATACCAATTGTTCATGCACTTTTGATTGACCGGCAGGCAGAATCATACTGTCGAGTTCTGCAGTATTTTAGGAATGATTTGCAACTGAATTTGAACTATGACCAGCTTCAAATTATCACAGATTTTGAGCAAGGATTAAGAAATGCCATTGCCCGAGTACTTCCTGAAGCCAACAATACTGGATGTTGGTTTCATTTTGTTCAAGTGAGTAAACAGCCAATAAATCTATATTATCAATAAATAAACACCGCAGCGGTAAAATACAGCTGTACACAATTTACCGTCACTGATACAGTGTGTGGAAACATTAATAATTTAAAATGTTAAAAACTAAAAAATATAAATAATTTTTTTTTTTTATAGTGTATTATTCGTTACGTGAGGACACACAACCTGGCTAGAATTCTTAGAGCTAATGAAAATGCAAGAAGAATCTTACGCATGGTAAATTTTTGGTAAAAATTAATTTATAGATTGGACTAGTGGTGGCATGAAGTTTATATTTTCTATAAATGAGTTTCAGTAAAATATTAAAATGTATGTACAATTTCAATATCATGGCTTTTATTAAGTATATGAACATGATTATATCTTATTGAAAATTAAATTAAATTAAGGATACCTATAATTGATACGACAAAATAACCGGATAGATATGTGTAAAAGAGATTATTTTGTCACCCACAAAATTGTATCATAAAGGAACTGATTCATAAGATACCTTTTCACATCGCCACTGGTTCAGACACCAAACAGAAAATAAAATATTAGTCAAAATGTTAAAAATATATACATTTTAATTAAACTAAAAACAATTTTACTGTGCAAGACTTAAATATGAATAAAACATTGACTCAAATAAAAATTAAGTAGTAATTTAATTTTTAATATTATAATGTATTTAATTTCTGCACGTCTAAATCAAATTAACAATACTTCATGTTTTTATAGCAACATTAAACTCTCTCACTCCCTACACTTTCTGTATTTTATCAAAGCTGGGCATTAACGAGTTAATTAGTCAAAAGTTAAGTTATTTTTAACTTATTAACTTAACTTACTAGTTCGCTGTTCTAATTAACATAACTGTAACTTAACTCATTTGTATCCACGTTAACTTAAAATTTACTTATATTATTTATAATATTCACAATTAAGTTAATTTTGAATATTGAATTTCATATTATCCAAATATTATTTATGTAAGTTATAAGTTTGTAGAATATAAAAAATATTATTAGAAAAAAGAAATATACCTATTTACGAAGAATTTCCTACATATTTTTATGAACGAAAACTAATATGTCGTATTAACTAGGTACTAATTAATAATAATATAGGGGTAACAATGTAGCATAATATTTATTTAGTCGCCAATATAAAGACATCAATAGCTACAAGCCCACAAAGTCCCGATTCATAATACATACTTATTATTTATTAATATTTAATACCTACGATTATTATTGTATGATCAATCGTGAAATTGTGACCATTTCCATTTATACATTATGTTTTATATTATAATTTTATTTCAAAAATACCTACCTATATAATAATGGTGTAAATATTTTTAAAAAATAGTGTATTTTACATAATATATACCATGTATACTATACAATACACGTTGTTATTAAAATTTAATAGATATTTAGAATAACATAGTTGTAAAATACAAATGTTATACCTTATATATATATATAAAATATCTACCACTATTAAAAGTAAAAATAACAGTCGTTTTTTTATAAGTAATTTATTTTTTGAATTATAAAATGTGTTAAACAATACACAACACATTTACACACAATATTTATTTTTTAATGAACCCGGCATGAAATTTGAATAGAATTCTAAAATGATACAGCCCTACAGGTCTTAAATTATACATACATAATAATACATATCGCCATAGATTGATACTTTGATAGGTATACAAGTGATTATACATTTATACTTTATTTTAATAACTTTTTAATGCATTAAAAAAAATTAAATTAGCTTAACTTATTAATTGAAGTTAAGTTAACAATATTTGTTAACTTAATTTAAACTTAATTGATGTATTGAAAATGTCTAACTTAACTTTTAATTTAATTGAAAAAATAACACTTAACTAAACTTAACAGAGTTAAAAAATATCATTAATTTGTATTTTATCCAACCTTGAATTTTATCATAATAATTAAAAGTAAGTAATTGTTTTTCCAGCTCATGGCATTACCTCATTTGCCGGCCAATGAAATTAGATTCGACCGTGGTCTCTTTTCAATTCAATTAGGGTTTCATGTTGTACACGAATTGGGTTAGTTGTCTCATATAAATTCATTAATCTGATATCTATAAATATTATATTATTGTTTATTTAAATATAATTAATTAAATAGTGAGAGATTACAACCTTGGAGAGGAGCTGCATGATTTGATGCAATATTTTCAAAGGTATTGGATGGACACTGTAGGTCCACTAAGATTTACAGTGTATCGACTCCAATACAGAACTAATAATTTCATTGAGTCGTACCACGTTTCTCTTCTGAGACTAATGGGCCAACATCCATCTCTGTATCAATTTTATGGTAACATTGATTACTCTGAAAGAAATATAAATTTATAACAGTCATAAAGAATGAAAAACCTGGTATTTATTTTTTAATTACAATTTTAGAACACTTGAGAACAGTTGAAGAGCGTTCAAGGAACGATTTGGCCAGTGCAGTAAATGGACAACAAGTAAGGCTTTACAGTTTGTGTAAAAATATTAAATTTAGTGGACATAAGATGTCACTTTGTTTTTCTCTCAGACCCACAAGCAAAATAGCACATTTGCATTCAGCAGAATCAATCTTTTCTACTTGTGTGTTGTTAGCATTAATATAAGCATGACTTATTATTGACTTATTATCAAAACTTAAGTTAATAACTATATTTTATAAACTGGATTTTTTTTTACAATATTTTAATTTTTCCAAGATATATGAGAATTTAAAAATTATTGTAATATTTTAAATAGTCATAACAAAAAAGGCTGAAAGTACAATACTGATTCTGTTAACCACAAATTTACTATGTTGCACATATGTTATGTTAACTTTGATTGATTCTAAAAAATCATTAGTATTTATTAAATAAAATAGGTACATAATGAATTATGATCTATAGATAAATGTATAACCAACATGTATTTTATTTGTAATTAACAGGTTAGACGAAGGACTTATAGAATGTATCCGAGAAATAATGCAATTATAAGCAATGGATGGGCAAATGTTGAAAATGGAACTTACAATCTGCAAGATTTCTTAAGAAATGTTTCATATACCAGTGAACAAATCTTAAGAAACGAGATTGGTGAACCGGATTTTCAACCCAGTAATTTACTATCAAAACTTAATAATTTATAAATTTATTATATTTACTTTATTAACTTTTTGCTTATAGTACTTGCTATTCAAGGGTTAAATGCTATACCTCCAGGACAATTACCACAGAGGCCCCCTCAACTGTTATTGAGACCGATGCCAGCACCACCATTAATACGACCGGCCGTACAACCACCAATAGCTGAAGTGGTACCGGTGGCTATACAACCAGCAGAGGCGGTACAACTACCGATGGTTGAAGTACCTGCAATAGCTGTACAAAATGTTAGAAACCAGAGGGGTGTGCGTAGAAGAGGTACATTTACAACTTTAAAATAACTCAAAATTAAAATCCTTATTTAATACATTATTTTATACTTTAGGAAATCGTGGTAATCGTGTACAAGGCAACGGTAGAGGACGTTTGAACGCGAGAGTGGGATGGGCAGAATTTTTTGCAAATGTTGAAGACGGTAATATTATGACCTGCAACTAATAAAAGTTTTTTATATAATTTCTTCTAGTAGTAAAATAAATATTGCTTTTAGAACTAGAACCACGACTTCCCCCACCTGTGCGGAATCAACATCCGATTCCTGCCAATGAAAGTAAGATAAAACAATTATTGAAATTTTTGACTTTTTAAAATTATAATTAATAATGATTTATTTTTTCAGTGATTTTAGAAGTATGCATTATTTGTTATGAAGAAGTGGTAACAGTCACTATAGTGCCATGTCGCCACACATTTTGCAATACTTGCATTACACGTTTGATACAGAATGGGTTTAATACATGTCCATTATGTAGAGGCAATATTGAAGTGTACGAGGGATATGTATGATAATATGTGATAATATGATAATATTACTATTCGATTTTATATATTTTTTATTGTTAATTTGAGAGATTTTTTTAAGTTATTAGTTATATCATTAAGTTAATTTTATTTTTGTCAGAATTTATAAAAAATGTTATTGCATTATTTTCATTATAATAAATATCGATATAAAAATGAATGTATGTCTGTCTGTGTGTACATATTACCATTTATATATTATTTTGAGATTTCCAATGGAATTTTTGTATATAAATGGTTGCCATGTTAATATGTAAACCATATTATTCATATAGAGTTGGCATTTTTAATGGGGAACAAAGTGTAACAGGATCAGCCAGTAATATAATATAAACTTTTAATAAGAATAAAAAGTATTCACAAATATTGAATGATCATCTACTTTGTTGTTGTTGACTGCTGTTATTATACTAAAACTAAATTAGTAATCACTGAAATGTGAAACAAATGAGATCATATGAAAAATGATTACTTATAGACTCAAGAGAATTAATTACCTACATGTTTAACCCAGGTTTTAGACACTTAATTAATCATTTTCAAAATTATCTTATGAAGAATTGAAAACTAACTGTTTATATTTTATACCATGACAAAATAAATGTTTGTTCTGTCATGGTTTATACAATATTTCCACAAATACTATGAATGATGAATCTAATTTTTTTCAATATAAGATATGGTAATATGAAAATACAAAACTCAAAATTATTGTAAAAATTTGAGGCCCCCCATGGCCCATACATACTTGTGAGGCCCTCCGGTAGTTGCGGCACTGCCTATAACCGTGCCGACGACAGACATCAGCTGCTGCCATAGTGTTACATATATTTAGCCATAGTGGTATATATTTTGGAATAAAGACTTTGTGGTACAAAAGTTCAAAATTTGATCCAATGTAAATGGAATTATATTCCGAAAAACAATTGTTAGAATGGTGGTCTTTTCCGATTTATATTTGTTACAACTGACTTTTATTCCATAAAAGATTTGTTCCTATCGACATTTGTTCCGAAAAATAATAATATCAATGAACATTTGTTCCACAAACCATTTGTCCCAATAGAGTTTTGGAACAAATGTCCATTGGCACAATTATGTTGGGAACAAATATCCATAAGCATAATTATATTTTGGAACAAATGTTCATTGGCACAGATTTTTTTTGGAACAAAAATATGACCACCGTTAATCGCTACAGCTAAAGTAGCGTGCTACTGTAGCGTCGCTACAATTAGCGCGCTACTCCCGACCACTGCATCAGACAATATAATTATAATATATTATATACATACTTCAAACAGAATATTAGCATATTTTAATTTTTAATCATGTAGCCACACCTAATTATTTTATTACAATAAAAAAATTATATTTATTAACATTTATGTGAATAAGTTTTGATAATGTCCAACAATTTTAACACAGTTTACTGTGTACAACTTTTTATTTTTCCCAAGCAGAAGGGTGATTAACGTTTTCAAGTACCTATCTAGCTCAATTGTTCATTGGAAATCACAAATTACATTAATATTATTTTAATGTAGCCAATGTAGGTAAGTATATTATATATTCATTTTCATTTTGTTTTTTAATTTTTATTTTACCTAATAAGATGTAAAAATAATATATTATAATAGAATATTTTCATTTTGTATTCACAATTTAGATGCTGTTGATGCCAAACATTCAAATAATTTTGATAATTATTAGAATAATTTTTTGCTTTTTTAAAGCTTTTTTTATTATCATCATAATTGTATGATATAATATGTGTTTTTTTTTAAAAATTTTTTGTGTCTGTCATTACCTTTAAGGTCAGTACAAATGCATAGATTTTCTTCAACAGTATCTTTTCTAACAGGAAAATGAATCTACTTGGTAATTGGGGGGTCAAAAGTAAAGTAAGTTTTCAAAAGCGCCTGGAAAAACAAAATAAAAAGTAAGGAAAACGGGAATTTTTACGCAAAATCGATTTCGGCTTTTGGTGTAACTCTAAACAAATTATCGTAAATACATGACATTTTTGACTCAATGTTTATACTAGCATTTTCTATACATCATAGTCCATAACATTTTCAAAATATTTTGAGCTGTTTATAGACATTTTCAGTTTCCAATTTGTTTAGTTTTTTTTTTCTATAAATATCAATACCAATTTATTTGTTGGGTAAAATAGATTAAAAATTTAATAGGAGGCTCCTTATATTATATTGTTTCAAAGGCAGATGAAAAATAATGATTTTGTAATTAAAAATGTATAAAATATTCAACTTTCATAGCAATGGATTGGAAACGTAGAACAAGATTCCACGTAAGTAGGTTATTCTGAAAACTTTACAAAATAGATATTTTTGAATTTTTAAAAAACCAAAAAAAAAAATTGATTAATTTTTTTTAGACCTTGATTATTATGTAATACATTAATAATAACTACACTTGGATATCTGCATTATATATCAAATTAAAGCTCCTGACTTTCTAATCAACCAGCTTATCTATATTAGCCATTAGGTACCTATTACCTATATTTATTTTAATTTTGTATCTATTTAATCATCAAAAAGTATATATTTTTTACCAAAACAATATTGTTAAACTGTATTTAAAATTATATTTTATAAAGGCTGTAACCATACATTATTTTGTTTATATTAACTTAATTAAATTTAACACAATAAAATTCTATCTAATAATAAAATGAATACCTACCTTGTTTATGAGATTAGTCTTTAGTTATAATAAGTTATAATTAGTTATAATATTAATTGAATACGTTTTTTTTATGTTTTGAGTTGTTTTCCATTGTTGAGACAGATAAAAATCATTACAGAGTGATATATTATGAACATTGTATAATGTATATTAGATATTTCATATTTGATACAATGGTCAATGGTGAATGGGTCACCGAATAAATCATGGATACACTTGTCACTTACCTATGTTATATTATATTGCAGGTATTATAGGTACACTGTTTATAGGCGAAGGCCGAAGAGTATTACGTAAATATTATATTAAATATTTATCAATTAAATTAATAATTAATTATGTAACAATCAATGATTAAACAATGTTGTTTTAATAATTCCAGAGTATACCTACCAATCCTGACCTAATTTGTTCTAATATGTCAATAGTTAATACGGCTGAATCCTCTAATTTGACTTTGTAGCATATAATTTTATTAAGTGCATGGGTTTGCTCAATTCACGATAAAATAATTTTCTAATAATATTGTATAATTTTTATTTTGAAAGAAACCTTTTTTTTGCTAACCTAACCTACAAAATATGTTGTTATTTTTTCTTTCTGAAAAGTATTGTTTTGTGGGACTTTGTTATATTATTATTTATTATGGATTCTAAAATAAAAGCGTTTGCAACCGGCCCAACAGAGTGCAAGCACTGAAAGCGAATGGCTCCACCCCCGCGAGCATGCCTATGAGCTGCGTATTTATGCACAAACGGAAATTAAAGCTGCGAATTCCAGTAGGAGGGGTGATAAAATGTATCTGATTTTAATTGAGAAACATATCGAAATTTATGTTTCAAAATCAAAAATGTAATAATCGGGGATAGACGCATGAAATATTCGGGTGGTAAGGTTTGAAAAAATTGTATAATCTTTGAACCTAATGCCTATTGTTATACCTTATTAAATGATAGGTAGGTACATAATTGGTATTATTGATATTTTGTGGGGAGGTTAGCCCTTCGCGGCGAAACGGTCGCGGCGAATGGTCCGGCGGCGAAAAAGTCCGCGGCGAAACGGTGCGGCGGCGAAACGGTCGTGGCGAAATGTCCGGGTTCGGTAGATAACCTAGTAAAGGAAAAAAATAAAAAATTGTCTAACTTGAACACGTTATAAACTTATAAGTTATAACTTATACTTGTCAATCTACTTAAGACGTGTTTATTTAAAGTTTGAAATACCTACCGCTGTTCATGTGTCACAAATTTCAAAATTAATTTAAAGCTAGGTAGCAATATTATAATACACTATTGATTAAACCTTCATATTTTTAAGAGTAAAAATGATTATATTAATCTCATAACATTTTATTTATTACAATTTTGAAATTAATCCTTCACACCGTTACCTACATTTATAATAAATTATATATCAGCATGAGAGCATCTAGATGCTTCCAAACATCTGCTGCCCGGGGAAAGTGCCTTTAAGAGTTAAGACCCTCCGCCAAATCCGGCCCGGGTCCACTTTATTTATTAATAATAAAACGTAACAAATAGTCACTAATTAAATTAAAAACTGTTACATATTAACTTTTAGTTGCTTTGCTCATTCCTAGTCAGTCACTTAGTAACCTATTAATTTTTTTTTTTGAAAGTTGGTTTTTGGAAACTGCTGTAGAACATATTTTTTAATTCTCATATAGTCCTAATATTCATGTATTATCCCGTGTATTATGGACTACCTATCTATTAATTTTATACCTAATATTTAGTATTTACTAACTTTTCACTTTTCAGCATGTGCACTTAGGAATGATGAGTCAATTAAAATTGTATAAAAAAGAAAGGTCCAGTAGTTCAAACAATGTGTCGACATCCAAGCAAACAAAAATAAGTCATTCTGCAGATAATTCTGGTTTTAATAAAAAATGCTCTAAACAAAAGGTATGTAATTATCATATACCTTAGGTATAATAGGTACCTATGCATATTTCTTAAGACTTACTAACTAGTAATTACTAATTATTGAATACTAAATAGTAATATTTTGTCAATTACATAAATCAATAAATTATTTTATAATATATAAAGCAGTGTTTTACTCAACAGAAATAAAATTCAAATTTACTTTTAATGAAAATTACTTGAATACTGCTAGTAGGTAGCTGCTAGTAGGTATTTAAAAATTTCTTAAATCTTTGTCATTTGTTTTAAAACTGATGATTTCTTCAAAATCAAAAAATTGACACAATATACTTATACTTGGTATGCCATTGTCTTTTAATTTATTGTACCTATGTAGTATGTATTAATTAAAATTACTCAATGATAAAAATAAAAATACTATGCTATTTTAAAACTATTATATAGATAATCTAATAATTTAATTTATAATTCATCTGATAATAACTTAAGACATTTAGATTTTTTTGTAAAGAGTGCAACAAATAAAATTAAACTAACAAATTTAAATAATAAAATAAGTATCTACTACTTAATCTAACATTAATAATGAAAAGTATTAGTATTTCCTTGGCATAGTACAAAGGAGTAGTGTACACAAAATTTAAGAATAAAAATATAACTTGATCATAAATGCTTAATAAGTGTATGGTTATTTAAATATTTAATAGTTTTAATAATTATTTTAATATGGTAGAAAATCTAATCTCTAAACTTTTTTGATTTGTAAAAACTTATGACATTACAATATTATAATTTTTTAGTTGTCAATGATGTGAAGCTATGTAGGTTTATCTAATATTAAATCACTTAACTTATAGTTTATACACATTTTGAAAACAGTTTACTACAGATTTAAGATCCAAAATGAAAAAATACAATTTAATTTATAATATTGATAAATATACTAATGATATTATTTGTGGTATAAATGTATAATTTAACATGCGTTATTTACATTTCAGGTAACTGATTTGAATTCAATTATATAGTAGAAGAAATGAAACCTATTTCAACTTGTGAAAAACCATCATTCAAAGAATTAATTACTGGATTGACTAATGATAATTTTGTGCCGAATAGAAGAATAATAAACAACGAGTTAGTAAATAAGTATAACGATTATGTAAATGACTTAATAGTGAAAATTTCTATGCAATAATATATTTGTTTAACAACGGACATTTGGAGTTCACTGAACAAGAGTTATTTGGGGATGACCATGCACTATATAGAAGAAAATACGTATCAGCGTTTTTCATATGTTATATCCTTATCATTATTTAGAATTGAAGGTAGCCATAATTACATGAATATTGCAAAATCCATATCTGACATTTTGACAAGTTATAAAATTGATGTTAAAAAAATATCACACACAGTCACCGATAATGCGTCTAATTTTGGTAAGGCAAAAATGCGACGTCGTCGTCGTCCAAAAAATCCAACCTCTATTGATCAGTTAGCAGATATATTGAATGAACCTACAACATCTACATCATATATATCAACATTGCAGCGTCCTTCTTCAAGGTTCATGAAATAAATTTCAAATATTTTTTGTTTAATTTATCATTTCTTTATTATTTTACTTAGATTTTTTCAACATGATTGTCCATTGATGGTAGATAGAGAACGAGTTGGTGACGTTGGTGTAGTATTTGCTAATACAGATGCAATCGACAAATATAGGAGAGAACTACTCCAATCAATTACAGATTATGAACGAGGTTTGATGAACGAAGTAAGGATTTTTTTTCCTCAAACAAAGCTTCAGGAATGTTGGTTCTATTTTTGCCAGTCTGTTATCCGGTACTGCAAAATAAGTATGAACAGTCTATTCCAACTATTTCAGAGAAGTGTTGAGGCGGCCATAGTTTTACGCATGGTAATATGCTATTACGATGAAATAATTTTGTGATTATTTAATTTGCCTAAAATTAGTTTGATATTTTTACTTACTTGGTTAAATTCGATTTGGGTTTTTAATTTTTAGGTGTTAGCTCTACCCCATCTTCCTGTTGAGTCCCAAATTAATTGTAATTTCACAATGTTAGATGGTTTTCAAATAATCGTGGATTATGTCAACCAACAACCTGTAATTCGAGAACGCCTACAAGGATTTTTATTTGGCTACATACACGATTTTTGGTTTATACAAATAACTGCTGAAAACATAAGTGTCTTTGGGATAGAATTCTTAAAAATAACATAAATAGATTATTGTCATATAAATTATAATATATATTTTTGTAATATATCTTAGGTCAGAGGTTCGAACTAAAAATTATGTTGAGTCCTTTCATGCCACACTCAAGACACAGATTGGAAAACACCCCAATATCTGGGATTTTACCTAGGATGTCCTCTTATGTTTCTATTTTTCCGAATGTCATTGAAATTAATAACCTATAATATCATGTATCTATTGAATTATCGATGTTAACCAATACCTATATAGTGTTAATTTTCCGCCATGCTTTATTAAGTTATATTAAACTATTAGGAACCGAATCACCTGGTATTCATTACTCTAACAAAAAAAAAAAAAAAATCACTTATTTCTATATTCTTTTTATTTATTATATATATCATTAATAACTTATTTTCATATATTGATCTACATACTCAATTAATATTTCTGGTTCTAGTACAGTGGTACCTGATTCATATATTTGACTAGATCTAAACAACAATGTGTACCTAATTTCCCTTTTCTTTTCGACATATCGTACAAAAATGTTACTATGCTTTATGTAATACTTCTGATTTTGTCTTCCGAAAATGGTTCATCTAGCTGGTTATTTGCTACCTTTATATGTCTGGGTAACCATTTTGGTAAATTACCGCCTGATCTTGTGTCATGATCCCCGTGTAAAATTGCGAGTTCCAGTTTGATACAAAATAATTTGCTTTTATTCCTATAATTATACTATTCGGTTACTTAATCTTGATCGCTAACACTACCTAATCAATATTAACTATAAATGTATATTCTATTTTTATTTATATATTATTACGTTCTACTATTACCTTTATAATTCTATTCCCGTTTTTTTTTTTATTCATTTACACAAGATATAATTAATTTATTCACGATGTATTTAATCATTTTCTTCGTTGTTTTTGTCGTCGTTTTCGTAATATTTTTCCACGTCACTTTTATGTACCGTTACTTTTTTAAGAATCCTCGATATAACTACATTTTCCGAATCTAACAATTCTAATATTTCGTATGGTCCTTTCCAAAGTGGACTTAACTTATTTCTTTGGGTATGGTCTTTAAGTAAAATCATATCCTTAACTTCTAACTCTTCTGTTTTGACTTTTTTATCGTAATACCGTTTATTTACTTCTTTACTTTTTATTAATCGTTCCCGTGCTATTTGGCTTGATTTTTGTAATTTTTCTTTTAAATCGTATACGTAATCATCATAATTAAACCTAGGTTCTGGAGTTGTTTTTAATTGAACTGGAATATTAATGTCCCTACCATACACTAACGCATAGGGTTGGTATTTCGTGGACGTATGTTCCGTAGAATTGTATGCCTATGGTAAAATTTCATCCAAATCGTCTAAACTTTTACTTACGTAGTATCTTAAATATTCTGCTAATGTCTTATGCGAACTCTCAAGAGCACAGTTGGTCATCGGATGATAACCGAAAGTCTTAATTTTAATAATTTTTAACAACTTGCATACGTCCGTAAAACATTTTGACAGGAACTCAGTTCCTTGGTCACTTAATATCTCGTCTGGAATCCCGTGAATACAGACAAAATTTGTTACGAACGCCTTTGCCACCACATTTGCCGTGTGACAAATTAAAGCTACCCTTAGACTAAACTTCGTTAAGTCACATTGCATTGTAAGTATATAGTTGTTTCCTAGACTTGTTTGTAACTAACGGCCCTACAATGTCCAAAAATATTTTTTCAAATGGTCTTGTACTTGTCGTTGTTATAACCATAGGATACTGAATATGTTTATTAGTATTCTTATTAATTTGACAAGCTGTACAATTCTGTATATATTCCCTTACTTCCTGTTTCAGATTTGGCCAGTTAAATTGTTTTTTAATCTTTTTGACCGTCCTATTCAAGCCTCCATGCCCACCTAATCTGGACGTGTGCATTTGCTTAAAAATTACTAGTTTTTCTTACTTACTAAATTCTAACTTGGTACAGATTATTATTTCTATACTTGTATTACGAAAAATGTATCTTGTCATGAGTTGTCATTGACCTAACCCTTGCCCAATCTAGTTCGTCTTGTTGTCCTAAATGGTTCATTGCTAACTTTATTAACTTATGTTTTTTACAAAAATGCTTAAGATTTAGTAACGCTATATGTACATTTTCGTACGTTTCTGATTGTTTTTGCTTTGTTTTCGTAATTAAAAATATTATATATCTATCACCGCTTTTAAATTTTACAACGTCACCTAAATCTTTATTAGATTTTAATATTTTATCTCTACCAAATCGATTTTTAATTCGTAATTTATACCTGATCTAAAATTATAATACTTTTCGATCTCAGATACGATATTGTATTCTGAAGGATGTTTATTAGATCCCCATGTACTTCCTTAACGTCCTTATTAGAAATTACTGTTGTTTCGAATTTTTTCATAAAACTTTCATAACTTTCGCCCTTAATTTCACCAATTTTATACATACGAGATAGAGCATCGACATTCGTGTTTAATTTACCCATTTTGTAAACTATTTCATAATTATATTGTTATAATTCGATACGCCATCTTGCTAATCTAGATAAAGGATCTTTTAAATTAAATAACAATGACAACGGTCTATGGTCCGTAAGTATTGTAAATTTCCTACCATACAAATACGGTCGAAATGTTTTTACGCCGAATATTCTATAAACATTCTAGTTCTGTTGCTGAATAATTAGATTCTGCTCTATTTAAAGTTCTAGAACTGTAAGCTATTGGTAAATCAGATCCTACTTTACCTTGAGATAATATTGCACCTATCGCCTTTCCGCTAGCGTCGGTTCTAAGTATAAATTGTTTCGTAAATGCTGGATATTGCAAAATAGGTTCTGAACAAAGTATTTTTTTTAATTTATCAAAAACCGCTTGACAACTTTCATCCCAATTGAATTTTACGTCCTTTCTTAATAATTTCACTATTGGATTAGCAATGGCACTATAATTTTCTATGAATTTTTTATAATACCCACTAAGTCCTAAAAAACTTTTTATCTGCTTAACATTCTTAGGTACCGGAAAGTTCATTACAGCCTCAACTTTCTTTTTGTCGGGTTTTATGCCTTCATCGGAAATGATATGCCCTAAGAATAAACATTCCCGCTGTAAAAAACTACATTCATCCGGTTCTATTTTTAGATTATGTATACGTAATCGTTCAAATACATTAATTAACTTTTCATTATGATCTTGTAAGTTTTTCACGTAAACTATTATATCATCTAAGTATACTAAACATTTTGTTATTATTAGACCTGACAATACATTTGTGATCATTTTCTGAAATGTCGCCGGAGCTGGACTTAAACCCATAACTAACCGTTTAAATTTGTAATGACCTTGTCCCGTGGAAAATGCCGTAAGTTCCTTTGAATATTTTGCTAAACCTACCTTGCCAATACCCCGCCTTTAAATCTTATAATGTAAATAATTGGCATTGACCTAATTGATTTAAAATTTCCGTTATATTTGGTAACAGGTGAAATTAGTTTAATGTTACGTCAGTAAGTGCTCTAAAATCTATTACTATTCTGAATTTTTGTTTTCCCGATGCACCATCTTTCTTTTTAACTAAAATTAGTGGTGCTTTAAACTGATTCATTGATCATTTAATAATTTCATCTTTTTTATTTGTTCTATTTGTTTTTCTATTTCCGGTTGCTGCGAAAATGGTAAACGGTACGGTTTTTTATAAATTGGTTTCAAATCTTTGGGAACTTTTATTACATGCTCGGCTGCTGTGGTACACGTAAGACTATCACCCTTTAAATAAAAAATGTCGGAATAATCCTCGCAGATTTTTGTTATCGATTTACGTTCATGAACTTGAAGGTGATCCTTACGTATCAACGCCCTCACTTTTCGCTCGCGTTCTATGTCACGCGTAGGAATGTGTGTGTAAACGCAGTGTGTTACTATGTCATTCTTGTAGGATATTTTACGTATTTGACCTACATTTATATCCTGCGTCGTTTCGGATATATTTAACACGCTTATCGTTACTTTCCCGTTTTTAACTATATTATAAATATTCGCACAATATACATTTGTTAATAATTCTTGTTTATTAATTAATATATTTTTATTATTCATTGCCTTATCTGCTATATCGATTTATACTACCGTTTCTGAGCTTGGTTGCAATGTTAAACAAATATTATTATCGTTCTCTATTTTACATTCATTTATTGTAATTGTATAATTTGCAACATTTATTATTGCGTGGTTATCTATTAAAAACTTATCACCTATTATTCCGTCGCCGGATATCGGAAAAATTTTACTAACTACTGTTAGCGACAAATGTTTTTTTTGTAAATGTATTATATTCAAGGCGAGTTATTATGTATATTGTAAGGGCTGAGGTGCTGTGTGCCCTGAACTGGTCACACCGGCACGGACAACCACGACAGCGGCACGTCCGGCAGCAGTCATGTTTTTATATTCGCAGCGACCGGGTACACCGTTTTTGTCCCGCGTCCCCGTCGACTGTTAACCCACAAATTTAATACCGTTTAATATGTTGAATGTTTAACCGCTTGTATATTATTGTTTTGGAATACGTTCATTCTGTTAAAGTGTCGTAGTTAATAAACGCCGAATACCACACACTTCGTTGTAAATATATTATACCTAGGTACCAGAATCCTGACCCGAGCTTTATTTTAACTGCTACCGATCCTTAGCCAGTTAAAGTTTGCTAACATTTCAGAAGTGGGATAAGCTCAAAGGCCCCCTCACACGTGTTTCCGAGTGCGTCGTCAGACCCGAAATTCCGAAATCGTGACCCGTTTGTCACGAGGTTTCTGTTCGCCACGTCGTATTTCCGTGTGCGACTTCGGGAAAACCTATCACGTACGGGACGTCGTGACGTTATCTCGCTCCACCGCCCGCCGTTTTCGATCGCGTGAGTGCGAGTGCGCCCGTCCGCCGCACCGAAGCCCGATCGTGCGAGTGCGTACGCCGGCCCATCTGTTATCAGCTGACGCCACGACAGTTTGTTTACTACGTGCACAGAACAATATAGAAGCGAAACTCGATCAGCTGATTGGGGTATTGGTTCCCTATGATCTGAAGTCTGAACCTACGAAAAACATGGAATTGGTTCCCGCACCAACATGATGTTAGACCCGTATATTAAGAATTGGTTCCAAGACTATGGCGGGATACGGGACGCGGAGTTGGCACTATGGCGGGATACGGGACGCGGGGTTTTCACGTATGCCACGCCCTCCTGAAGACCGTGTTCAAGGCCGCAATCGCCTGGTTCGGCCAACGCACGGAGTTTCGTACCCCTGCTACGTGCTCCGTGTTGATAACGTATATTTTGAAAGTTGTTGTCGCCGTTTCGACACCGATCTGAATGTGGGCAACGATTCCCCACCAACGAACGCTCAGAATATACAAGCTCCCACGTACAACGAGCTATTCGATCTGGCCCAGTCGCTGAAGTCGCGGTTGGAGTTGTTGGAAAAGAATGCGGGTAATGTTGTCACGACGCAGCCCCAGACACAGCCAACCGGAAACTCTGTGCCACACACGTACAGCGATTACCGAATGTTGCCGGATCTGAACCGAACTGTGCCTGAATTCACCGGCCACGAATCGAGCTGCGCAGCCGAAGACTGGTTGAGCAACGTCGATGCTCTGGCTGGTATAAACAATTGGTCAATACCATACCGACTGCAATTCGTGAAATCGAACATGACAAACGCGGCCCGTATCTGGTACCTCACGGAGGTATTCATGGATTGGTCCGATTTTAAGGTGAAGTTCCGTTCCGCCTTTGTCCGTACACTACGTATGACGGACCTTTGGAAGGCGCTGAGTGAACGTCTGCAAGTTGAAACTGAGCACATAGCTCACTACTTCTAAGACAAGCTCCGTCTGTTCACCTTCACTGAAACATGGGACCACATGGGCATTCGTCTCAAAAATTGGCAGTGTATGCCATGAAGAGGAACCACTGCACTACCGCACCATTGCTGGCCGACCTGCAAGAATGGCAACGTTTGTACGAACTACGACGGACGCAGTTCTCGACGACGGCTAGGCCACACGTAGTGCCTGCCACGAAGATAACAAAGTACGATCAACGAAACACCAATACCCGTCGTACCACTGATAAGACGCCGTCAACGTCGGCAACTTCAAGTGAAGGTCCAACGACCTCATCCGAGTTACCGAAAATGTCCACGGTACGATGTTTCAACTGTGGTGGTACCGGACATATATCACGGGATTGTCCGAAACCACGGAAACAACGTTCGGGCTGTCAGTCGACGACGCATTCGCGAGGTCAGTGCACCGTGAATCCGCGAAAGGTTGCACCTCCCGCCGAAACATATCGCGTTGAACCGACATCAAGATACCCGAAGGTGAACTGTTTTATAAAGGATATACTGTTCAACGACATACGCGCTACCTGCCTGATCGACACGGGTTCGTCAGATGATTTGGTACGCATCAGCCTCGCCGAACGATCCAAGTCGGAAATCCGCAAGGTCTGTTGTCCATTGTTCACGGTCGGAGACATGAACTCTCCAGGTGCGGTGACGTTGGGTGAGACCACTGCAGACATAGCGGTCGATGACGCGAGCGCTGCCGATCACCCGGTGTTTGTCGTTAGTGACGACTCTATCCCTGTGGACGTAGTCGTAGGTCGGACGTGGCTAAACCTATGACACATCAGTAATTACAAGCGCCAGGATGAGCTCTTCATCGAAACACTCAACGGCATTAACTCCACAGCGCTGTCCGAAAATGTGTCGGAGGAAAGTACGGACGTATATGCAGCCCTAGTCAGTGCGGACAAGCCCACGATGACTCCCCTACTGCATACCGAAGTCAAGATTAACCCGGGTGTCACTGAAGCCGAACGCGGCAGTTTGATGACGCTCATAAACGAGTACCGTGATGTGTTCGCCAAGACGTTGGCTGAACTCGGTTGCACAGACGTAATGAAAATGAACATTGACGAAGTGCAGGGTAGTGACCCTGTGCGCCACAAACCGTACCGCACGTCACCAACCGACCGTCGCATCATTGCACAGATTTTGGACGACTGGAAGTCCACCGGTATTATTTCGGACTCTACGTCACCATACGCTAGCTCGGTGCTCCTTGTAAATAAGGGCACAGGTGAAAAACGATTGTGTGTTGATTACCGAAGGCTTAATCAACAAACACAGAACCATCCATATCCGATGCCGGATGACCTATTATCGCGGCTCGCGGAGGGCCGGATATTCTCCACGATGGACCTCTCTAATGGATTCTTGCAAATTCCACTGATCGAGGAGGCCAAGAAGAAAACCGCATTCGTCACGGAGGAGACCACCGCGAGGTTTGAACGAATGCCGTTTGGGTTGAAAGGGGCAACCGGCACGTTTCAGAGAATTATGAACACCGTCTTCAAGGAACTGCTGAACCAGGGGTTAATATACGTATATTTGGACGATATCATCATACCTTCTAAAGATTGGGAAGATATGCTCGTCGTGGTTAGACGGGTATTCGATTCACTCCGCTCAGCCAAGTTGACTTTAAAACCTGCGAAGTGCACTTTCGGTGCAAATGAGTTGGACTTCCTCGGATTTACCGTATCTCAAGGTGTGATACGACCAGGACAGAAGGTACACGCAATCAAGACATTCCCGCAGCCCCGGGACGCACACGAGGTGCGCCGTTTTTTGGGCCTTACTGGATATTTCCGAAGCTTCATCGGCAGCCTGGATGGCACACGTAGATGCCCTGAGCCGTGCCACCCCACCGACTATCGACACCGGAGAAATGTTGGTCAAACACGAACTTACCGAACGGCTCGAATTCCTTGTTGCTATGACTGTAGTTTATGCAACAAGGTAACGCCGCGAGCGCGAACCTGATTAATTTGATGAAGACGACAAGAACACTCACCAAGCACGAGAAGTCCGTGAGTGAGCAGTACGAACTACACGATGGTGTCCTGTACCGAAGACATGCCGGAAGATCGTTGTTAGTCGTGCCTCGGTCGATGAGGAAAGGGATCGTCGTTGGTGCACACGATTATGGAGGTCATTTTTCGTTAGATCGAACTATCGCAAAGATCACCGAAGTTGGTTTACCGGATTACGCCGATATGTCAAACAGCACATCAAAATGTGCCTGGATTGTCTAATACACAAGGTACCCACCGGCAAGAACCCAGGTTACCTACATCCTATACCGACCGGTAGGAGACCGTTCGAAGTGGTCCACATGGACCACCTGGGTCCTTTTGAAACCAGCGCCACAGATAACAAGTACTTATTGGTACTGGTGGATAATCTAACCAAATACACACATCTGTATCCGTGCCATACCACGGATACCGCCGGTGTACTGAACAGGTTGACGAAATTCTGCGACACGCGTGGAATTCCCGGACGTATCATTAGCGGTCGTGGCACCTGCTTCACCGGGAAAGCGTTTGGGAAACTTTGCCAAAGTTGAGGCATTCGCTATACGCTGAACTCAACTCGTCACCCGCAGGCAGGTCGAGCACGCGAATCGGACCATTGTGCCACTGTTATCCATAATGACGACCGATCAATCTAGATGGGACGATCGAATACCGGAGCTGGGGAGACACCTAAACTCCGCCGTAAACAAAACGAACACTCGTACACCCTTTGAGGCACTCCACGGATACCGACCTAGGTATGTGGGAGGCGTGGTCAACACACTGAGCCGTTCTAGTGGTGAGCAGACCGACCCGAATGACGTGCAAGACTCTGTACAAGATGCTATTGCCACAGGCCAAGCAAACATGAAGGCCTATTACGACCGGAGCCGTTATCCGGGAACGAAGTACGAAGTAGGGGAGGTCGTTGTCATGTTACGACAACCGCGACCTGGGGGCCAATTCTTGAAATCGTGCTAAACTTTGTCGCATGCGATAAAAATGTTATCGCATGAAAATAAATAGTTGGTATTCTTGAATTATGGTATGACTTTAGTCGAACGAAAAACATTTGACTATTAGTCGAATGGGTATAAAGTCGGTGACTAGTCTATATCGCATAATAATTTGTGATAATAAATTCTTATATTAAATTATTAAAACCTAATCAGTTATTAGTTAAATCAGTTAATAATTTTAAATTTGTGTATTGTAAATTTGTAATTGTGTTTTTGTCATAAGTCATTAGTCACTTATTACTTGTTTTTTATTACTGTGCTCTATATTATTAAAATGGCTAATTTTGAAGATATGGCAATGTTGGTTGCCATGAATAACGTCGAGGAACACGAACATCACAATATATATAATGAAAGACAGACGCGAAATCGAGACATTATAACCAGGGATCGAAACCGGTTTTTGAAAAACCGGTTAGAACCGCGGTTTTTTCATTATCGAACACCGGAACCGGAACCGACACCAAAAGCTTTAAAACACCGGTTAAAAAACCATAACTGAAACCCGAGGCCTTTAAAAAACCGTTCATAAAACCCAAACCGAAACCATAGAATTGAAAAACCGTTCTTGATCAGTTCTTGAAAAACCGATTAAAATTTAAAATCAATATCGGTTTCTTCGAATTTTATAAAGTTAATTATATTATTTATAATTCTAGTTAAAACGAGTATTTTCATACGCAGAAAATAATATAATGTTCGAATTAATTAATAAAAATCCCGATGCTCTTAGGTAATCACTAATCAGTATTACGATATATTAATATCTACCTATTGGTAATACGAATATTGTTCTATTTATATTTTATGTTATTACTATACTTATTGTATTGGTTCTAAATTAAAATATAACTATTATTATTTTGTCCACCCCTATGCGGTTATACATGTCCGTAATCACTAATCTGTATTGTAGTTATTTGAAGTATTTGTGTAAATTATGATATATTAATGTTATTAGTTATTAGTTGTTACAATAATTTTTGTTTCGTATTTCGCCGATCCGCGTCCGTCCTGCAGTCTTCGATCGCTTGTGTTATTCTCACGATCTCATCAGTCATCAGTTTCCGATTTGTCATTTGTGCTTTTTATTTGTTATTTATATTGTTTATTTGATTTTTATATTAATTGATATATCAAAAATTAAAATGCTGAAAAGAAATCCAGTCGAACGACTTTATTTTAAATATAATGCTGCTATAAATAAGAGCCAATGCTTAGTTGAAGGTTGCTCTACCTACTTAGTTGGAAAACATGCAGCCAATTTAGAGAGGCATATTCAGAAAATTCACCCGGAGCAGTATGAGTTGTTGGCAGTAGAAAAAAAGGGTCAAACAAGTTCAAAAGTGTCGAAAGTAAGAATAAAATAAAAATTACCAAATGTATAAACATTTGGTTTTCAAAATTAAATTTTTTAATTTAACAATTTATTATTAAGTGAAGGTAGACATGTAGTACCTAAATTAAAATAATCTTATAGTCTATACTATATTACCCGTATAAATATAAATAATATATATGCTACCTATATGCATAGCCATATAGGCATGTTCTTAAATCTAATTTTATGTTTTGAAAGTTTGTAAGTTGTAACAAATAACTAATAACTAATATTGGCATGTGACTAACGTACCTACAGTAAAGTTGTAAATTGTAATGATAATTTATTGAAGGTACCTATTATATTTTCCTACCTATGTGGCTATGTCATTTGGAATTTATCAATTTGACAATTTATGTTGTATAACTTATAATCAAATATTAATTATTACTAATTAGATAGCTATTTAAAATTTAACTTTTAAGTAAAATAAAAATACTTGAAAGGTTAGGTCATTAGGTGTAAAATTAAATTTAAACTAGATAATACATTTATTTTTATTATTTTAATATCATGTGTCTTGAATTTTGATACTATTTATTGCTTATAGACAACTAGGCAAAGTACACTTGATGGCATTGTTGAAGTTAGAAAAAAAGTGTACAATGTTGATATTGATAAACAAACTTTAATTGACGGATGTATTATGCTGGTGACAGATAACGGACGACCACTGTCAATTCTATCCGATAGTGGACTACGGACAATTATCGACCCTATTATAAAAGCAATTTGATCAAGTAAGATGAACAAAAAACTAAAAAAGTATAACATATAGCTATCCTTAGTTTTAAAAGTACCTAGAATATTAAATATTATAAAAAAAATGTGTGTGATTTTTTGTTTTGAATTAAATTCTAAATTATATTGGTACTTGCAGATTTCACAATAAATGAAAAAAATATACAGCTGGAAATAGCAAACAAATTCAATAACATTGTTGATGATATCACAATAGCATTGAGTAAAAAACTAGTTTTTTTAAAGATTGACTGTGTAACACGTTTGAACAGAAGTATAATTGGGATCAACTGTCAATTTATTAATGATGGCAAAATCAAAATTGTGACTCTGGGAATGGCGGAATTATTAGATAGACATACTGGACATTATTTAAAACAGCAAGTAAGTTACCTTTACATTAAATATTAAAATCATTAAATAAATAAATAAATCTTGAAAATAAATAATTTGCATTGTCTTCAAATTACAATTATAAAATTGTAATTCATAACTTCAAACTTATAATCACAAGTGGTAGGTACTACTTAGGCATACATGTATGATACTTAATTTAAATTTCTTATTTCTTGCATATTTAAAATTTTATAAGTACTATTATAATTTATAGGTGCGTAGGTACAGGGCCGCATTATACTAGGTGCAAATGGAGCATTTGCTCCAGGCGGCAAATTTTGAGGGGCGGCAAACTACCAGTCTAATAAATAATAAATTACAATATGTTAAAATATTTTTTTACTATGGATATTTTTAAAAATAATTTGTAAATTAAAATTGAAAATGATGCTAAATTATTTTTATTTCTCAATTTTGAATTCTACTTATAAATTATAATGGAATCAAATGTGAATAATTGTCGTTACAATAATTATTGTCATTCGTCGACTATCCTAATTCTTAAATTAAGTATTGAAAATTGGATTCGAATATCGTACGGTAGATAAAATAACACATACATTAGAACGGAACCCGCGTGTTGACGTGTAACGTATTATACGATGTCTTATCGATTTCGATTACAATAATTCATAGAAGTAGCCTATCGGCTATAACTGATATAGGTATAAGCATTGATTAAATATTATATAATTGTATTTTTGATCGAATATCTACAATTTGTGTTTAATATCAAATCTCAATATCTGCAGTCGCTTTAGTTGTGTAGACGTGTAGTGTTTCATGCGCAGTTGACGAGTTCAAACCTTTAAAGTTTTAAACTAATATTTTATTAATGTGATTTGTCAGTCAAGTTGTATAGTTACGAAGTAGTACTAGTAATAATGAAAAGAATAAGACTGAGTGGTTCGAAATATCAAAAAATAGCATTAGAAAAAAAGTTGAAAGAAAAAAAAGTTATTGCAAAAACGGCAAAATTAGATAGTTTTTTTAAAAAGGTAAATTTTTGAAATATTACATAAAATATGTCTTTGTATTACACTGTAGCCGACAAGTAGGATTTTAGTAAGTACATAACTTGACGTTACGTAAAATCATGTTGGTATTTTATTTTATACAAATTATAAACCATCTTTGGTTGTTACGTTCGAATTTATTTAGAACATTTTTTTTAATATTCTATTAGATAGTAATGATATATTTTGTGATACAATTGAATATTTTTTGTTTAATTTTGGTTTTATTGAATTCAATTTTGTTGTTCGACGTCACAGTTTTATTCTTTGGTTTTAGGATTCATATTCAAGTGTTCAAAACGACGAAGTTGTAGAAAAACTCAACAATAACGAACTTAATTCTAGTATTCTATCTATTATTGATTCATTAGCTGAAACTAATAATTTTGATGAACAAAAAAACAATGAAATTCCGTCTCCTAACTTATAACTTATTACCAGCTCTTCAAAAAATGTATCCATATCAAAACAAAAATTTCATAAATATGAAATGTAAAAATATTTTGATATAAATACTTAGATAATAAATAAATAAATACTTACATATTACTTCATGTTTTTTTATGGTTTTTTTGGTGGTGGTGGAAGGGGGGGGGGGTGGCTGGAGGAGCGGCAAAAAAATGTTTGCTCCATGGCGGCATTGGGCCTTAATCCAGCCCTGCGTAGGTACCAATATTATTATTTTATGACTCAGTAAACCTTCCTATTATTTTGTTTATTATAAATATAAATATTTAATACAATATAATAGTATACATTATATAACAGTATAACACTACTAATATTTTTTAAATAATTTAGTTATTGAAAAATAACTTCAGTATAGGTAGAATACATGTATAATATTATGTATTATTGACTACACTGCTGACAATATCTGTGTGTGCTTATGATTGTTATACATTTTTAATATTTCTGATCGATTTAACAATGATTCATATTCTAATTCAATATTTTAAATTTTACTTTATAAGGTATTACTTGTAATGGAAAGATACAAAATAAGTCCTGCACAAATATACTCCATAACTTGTGATAATGCAAGAAACATGGTGAAAATGGTTGACTTATTCAATGAAAATTCTGAAAATAATGATGAACCAGTTGATGATACTGATGAAGAAAATATTTCCAACCTGGAAGACAGTAGTTATTTTGAAATTGAACATTTACTGTATTAACTATTGATATATTTTAATGTACTATCTTTATTAATTACAGACGATGATATTTTATTACAAAATATTCAAGATATGATAGATAGGTACATCAGATATTGAGATGGGACCATTAACCACATGTATGAGATGTGCAGTTCACACATTTCAGCTTGCCATTTGTGATACTATGAAAGAACGTGTGTGAAGTTGGGGGACTATAGCTAGGGGACTATTTACTCGGACGACTAGTGATAACAGGCCTTGTATG